TAAAACTAGAACTAACACTAGACCTAGAACTAGAAACATTCGGGTTTAGCCGCACGTCTCTCAAGACGGCTAAACCCGAATGATTCTAGTTCTAGATTTTGTGTTAGTTCTAATTTTAGTTCACTAATAATACACAACCTAGCACTATGTAGTGCTAACTAGTGTTACGTACTAGACCTGTTACTAGACCTAACACAAAATCTAGAACTAGAAACATTCAGGTTTAGCTGCACGTCTCTTAAGACGGCTAAACCGGAGTGATTCTAGTTCTAGATTTTGTGTTAGTTCTAGTGATAGTGCAAAACTGTAACTAACACTAGACCTAGAACTAGAATCATTCGGGTTTAGCCGTCTTGAGAGACGTGAGGCTAAACCCGAATGTTTCTAGTTCTAGATTTAGTTTTAGTTGTTATTCAACGTTAGATTATTGACTATTATTACAATGTTCTGAAATGTTATAATTGAGTTCTTAAATAATGATCATTAAAATGGTTGGGTTAGTTTAGGTGACTAAGCAACATCACGTCATCAACCCTGATCATCAGGATCTCGAATGATGATCAGGATTGAAGACGTGATGTTGCTTAGTGAGCCAACCCAACGACTTTAATGATCACATCATCAACCCTGATCATCAGCATTTCGAATGATGATCAGGATTGAGGACGTGATGTTGCTTAGTGACCCAACCCAACAACTTTAATGATCACGTCATCAACCCTGATCATCAGCATCTCGAATGATGATCAGGATTGAAGACGTGATGTTGCTTAGTGACCCAACCCAACCCAATGACTTTAATGATCACTATTTAAGAATTTAAGACCTTAGTTAGTATCGTTAAGATTTTGAATTATGATCAAGATTATCGGTTTTTCTTTAAAATCATCTTCATGATAATTATTCTCATTGTGCCTAGTCGTTCTTGTTTGAAGATTAAATTGATTACACAAAGTAGTTGATGCTCAAAAGCTCCCCATGTTATTTTATGGATAACGATGTATCGCAAAAATTGAAAATTAATTGTGCTTTTGATTCTGAACTGATTTCTTTATTTTTGATATTTTTATTATATCAAAATATCCGAATTATTATACTTTCAAATTTTGATGAAGTTTCGTCACCTTAGTTATGATTTGATGAAGTTTCTTAAGTAATATTGAGTTTCTAGATGATTTTCGCGAAGTTTTGTGGAATATATTAAGTTTTGGCTATAATTTGAAGGTTTGATAAATGAAGTTTCTTTGATTTGGATAGATTTCGATGAAGTTTTTTAAGATAATATAAAATTTTGTAATGAAAGTTAATGTTAAAGTGAAGTTTCTTTGCTTGATAAGAAATTTTTGCTTCATACTAATAATTTAAAGTTATAAATTCAAATTTAGATGAAGCTTCATCAACTCAATTAGCATTTGATGAAGTTTTTCGAGTTAACATTAAATTTTTAGATCAAAATTACGATTTTCACCAAGTTTTCTTGAATATGTTAATTTCATTGAAGTTTCCTAGCTCGATAATAAAGTTTTGGTTATAATTTGAGCATTTGATGAATGAAGTTTCTTTGATTTGGTAAAGTTTCGATGAAGTTTTTTGAGATAATATAAAATTTTGTAATCAAAGTTAATGTTAAAGTGATGTTTCTTTGCTTGATAAGAAATTTTTACTTCATACTAATAATTTAAAGTTATAAATTCAAATTTAGATGAAGCTTCATCAACTCAATTAGCATTTGATGAAGTTTTTCGAGTTAACATTGAATTTTTAGATCAAAATTACGATTTTCGACAAGTTTTCTAGAATATGTTAAAGTTTTCTAGCTTGATAATAAAGTTTTTGCTATAATTTGAACGTTTAGTGAATGAAATTTCTTTGATTTGGTTAGGTTTCAATGAAGTTTCTTAAGATAATATAAAATTAATGTTAACGCGAAAATTCTTTGCTTCATAAGAAATTTTTACTTCATACTACTAATAATTAAAAGTTATAATTTCAAATTTAGATGAAGCTTCATCAACTCGATTTGCATTTAATGAAGTTTTTCGAGTTAACATTAAATTTTTTGACCAAAATTACGATTATTGTGAAGTTTTCTGGAATATCTTAGTTTCATTGAAGTTTCCTCATTTAATAGTATAGTTTTGGCTGTAATTTTAAGAAGAGAATTATATTCGAAATTCATATTACCAGTACTTGTTAATAATTAGTAGAAATAACATATAAAGCTTTTTTGTACTTGCCTTTAATTAAGTAATAAACATGAGTCTTACTAGTTTTTTAGAACGTTCTAAGTTTTTAAAATGTTAACGTGGTCGTAAATTATACTTTAATCATTAATATTTTATCTTATAATTTATTACTTTAGAGTATTTTAATAATTATGAGTAATTTACTTTATAATGTAAACTTGATATTTTAATCTACTATTGCATCCTAAAAACTAGTCTCTGAAGATGGCTATTAGCCGAAACTAGTAAGATTCATGTTTATTATTTAATTAAAGACCAGCTTTGAAGTACAAAAAAGCTTTATACACCTTTATACATAAATCGTTTGAAATACAAAAAAATATTTTATACAAAAGTTGTTTGACACATCACTTTCTATTACCTAAAATTATTTTCACTTATACAGGGTGTTCCATTTAAGCGTAACGGAGAGTACGTAAATTTATTAAAATGGGGCAACCTGTATATTTTATCATATTATGAATTATCCGACATTTTTTCGGATTTTGCCTTGAAACTAAGTCAAACAATAGTCAAAGCTATTAGGTAGATGATAGTATTCAAAGATATTAGATACACTGT